TGCACACAGGGTGCAAGAAGTCTTTATTCAAAGGAAGAATATGTTAAGCTGAACTTCCCTGACAACACCCTGATGCCTGCTAAGTGTGCATGGCTAATGGAAGCAGGAAAGAAACATCCTAAGTCATGGAACCAATTTTGGAGAAACACACACAACTTTGTGTTTGTGGAACAGAATGAAGAACTAATCAGTGACTACTTAATACACCTTTTGGGGGTATTAAGCTGTTCCGCCGTCCATCAGACACTCACCACTTTAAAAAAAAAATGGGTCAGTATCATAATCTTTGGATACCCTCTCTACATGGACCCATCCTATCTGACTCTAAGTGAGCATATCATCAAGCCTAAAAGACTTCAAGGAAAATCCCAAATTATTGCCAGTTGGGTAGGCCTTGTGCCCCTCCCTCGAAATATCTGGGTGCCTGGCCTACGTTTCCTAAACATCGATGTGTACCTACCCCTTCGATGTAGGTGTTACAAATGCCAGTACTATGGCCATGTTGCAGTAGACTGTGGAATACCACATTCTTGGTGTAGTAAGTGTGCTGGGAAACATTCCACTAGAGAATGCACAGTAAGCCTGAACAGCCAAAATTATAAGTGTATTAACTATAAAGAAGTTGGGGTTACAGTCTCCCACAAGGACTGCAGTCGGAACCCAAATAACCTTCTATGTAAACCTGATAACAGTCCTTTAATGGTAACTAAGGATGAGGCCATCCAGTCTACCATAGCCACATCTGAGACTGAACCTCTGCAAAGTGTGGAAGAGCCCAACCTCCCTGCAAAGAATTCTGGTGATACCAGAATGCCATCACACACCAGTTGTGGAGGAGCTAGCCATCCCTGCTAGCACAGGTGGAATTACTGATCTGCCACTTTTGATACCTACGCCTACACCTGAATATGGGGATGAGCTTGTCATTTCTCCCAATACACACAACTACAACAGTCAGACGGACACCAAACAGGTAACCCCCCTGGAAACTGGAGATGAGTCAGATGCACAGGACCTACCTACAATGAATGATGAGACAGTCTTGCCACAGGCACCATCAGAGAACACTAATGTAACCATGGTACCTGTTAAGCGTTAAAGAAAGCACTAACTCAGAAGTGCCCTCCTCCGGAGAGGCATTGGATTCGCCTGACCTTCTTCAAATTATAACAAACATGCCGAAAAAAAACTGAGCATCTTGAACAGATTCTGACAAGATTAATAAATATATGTAGTCAGGATGATGCTCTTGGGTACGGTGATGATGTCAAAAGTGCATTAATCTCCGTTCAGTTTCAAGTAATTTGTAAGAAAGAAGCCCATGACTCTTGCCTTCAAGACTTGGCTTGGAACTGGCTGCCAAGATGCCGGAAAATGCTTAAAAATAAATGTCCTGAAGATAAAGACGTACAAACTATGCTATTTGCACTTAAGTGTCTGTACACTGTAGCCAAAGCATAATTGTTTTACCATCTTATGAGCAAGAGATTGTAATAACTCACTACAATGGATACATTACAAATCTTTTCATGGAACATTGCTTCCATCAGGAAGCGGTTGCCTGACTTACATCATATTAGTGCAACCAAGAATATTGATGTCATCTGTTTGCATGAATGCAGACTGAAAGATGGAGCACCTCCACCAAACTTGCTTGGATATGCAGCTTATAACCTAAGGTTAACCAACTGTTGTGTGATATATGTCAGAAAGAACTCGCCACATTCACTCCTTGCCTTGCAGAGTCGAGTAAACATGCAGTATCATGGTGTCAAAGTATATGCAGGCGATTTTTCCATAAACATTTTTAATCTCTATGCCCCAGCGAACCAGCTTCGACCTGATGCTTTACGAGATCGCATCAGAAGTGAACCTACCATCATTCTTGGAGATTTTAATGCCAGACATAAGAATATTGGTGGGTCTATAATAAATACCACTGGAACTAAACTAGTGAAATTGCTAAATGAGCATTATAATGTTCGAATTGTGGGCACTACTGAGCCTACTCACATATATGGTGGCATACTAGATCTGTACCTTGGATTTAATACTTCATATACGATGCATGACTCTGTCATAGCTGATGATCTTCTATCTGATCACTTCCCAAGACTAACAACTGTCAATCTTGTTCACATCTCCAGCAATCAAGAAGCTAAATTCAGAAGGAGGAAACTTATTCTCATCCAAGAACACAGAGATAACTTAATTAACCACCTGGATCAATGGTATAAGAAGTACGAGCCCTTGGCACACAAAAATTTAATGATGATTTAGTTGCCAATATTGAGAGTGTTCTCACAGATCAAGTGGGAAGGAAAAGAAAACATAGACCTTCCACTATAAATAACAACGAAAACCAATGTAAATACTATAATGATCCAGAGCTACACAATCTAACACACGCAGCAGCTTGGAGGACTGGTAAAACATACAGTGAATGTAGAACCCCACACCTGCTCAGAACGTTCCAAGCTGCACTAACAAAAGCAAGGAATAGAAAGCAAGAACTTAGGCAACAGGAATGGGACCAATTTGTTAGTGGATTAAATAGGTCCACCCCTTTAAGTTTGGCTTGGAAAGGTATAAATAAAATAACCAAGAAAAAGGCTGGCTCATCCCTTTCCTCTTGTAAAAGCAAATGACCTCATAAATGACTGGTCTAAAACATCCAGGCATGAAAACCTTCCATCTCATATTAAAAAAAAAATTTAGAGAGTGCTTCTGAAGAAATGTTGAAATTGATTAATTTTATGAGCTAAAATATTAATGAGAGTTATTGCCTTTTCACCGAGTATGAATTAGATAATGCATTAACTAAAGGTCGATCAACTGTTCCTGGAGAGGATGGTATAACCTATGATATTCTCAGAACTTTAAGGCACGTGCCTGATAACCCTTTGTTGGCACTGTATAATACCAGTTACAATGAGGGAGTTCTTCCTACTTCCTGGACCAATAGTCTCATTGTGCCTATCTCTAAGCCCCAACAACCTGATACACTTGGACCGATCTCCTTAACTAGTTGTCTTTGCAAAACTTTTGAAAGAATGATACTTAACAGACTGTACTACAGAATCAGACACCAACTTTTTCCCTACCTCTATGGGTTCATGAAAGGTAAAAGTGTGCAGAACTGTATTTCCGCCTTTCTCACTGCACACATCTCTACTAGTTTTACCACTTTTCTTGATCTAAAATCTGCATTTGATATTGTGAACAGAACCGTTATACTACATGAACTAGCCAAAATGAATATTGGTGGTAGCTTACTCTGCTGGATAATAGAATACCTGTCAAATAGAAGTGAGTCGAAAGAAATGTCTTTAGGTACACCGCAGGGAGGAGTTCTTAGTCCTATGCTATTTAATATTCTGATTAATGCTCTCCTAAATGCTCTACCTGCCTCACCTAAACATATAGCTATAAGCTATGCTGATGACATCATGATACATACAACAGGGCATAAGAAGATGAGCACTATTCTTAATGAAGTTCAGGTAATTTGTAATCGACTAGGCCTCATAATATCTTCCTCTAAAACAAAGATATTAACAAGCAAACGACATCCCCCACCCATCTATTTGCAAGGTGAAAACATTAGCTACGTTAAAACTTACAGATATCTTGGTGTAGATGTACCCCTTAAGAAATGTACTATACCACAACTAAATAAGAAATGCAAAGATAGGCTAAATGCTCTCAAAGCTGTTGCTGGCTACAATCCCAATTATGGTGCTACTGTGAGAATCGTTAGAATGATGTGCATAGCCTATGTTTGGTCCTTAATTGATTATGCTGCTCCCATGTTGATATTAGCTAGAGAAAGTTCTCTCTGACCCTTGGAGTTAATGCAAAATGAAGCTCTCAGGATTATTCTTGGCTGTCCCAGATCTACAAAGGTTCTTAATATGAGGAAGGAGCTAGGTATTTCTAGTATCAGTGATGGGATTGTTGAGATTAACATTGTACTCGGTATTAGAATGTTAAGAAATGAACCAGACACTGTCACAATGAATCTTACCAAGTGTCTAGAGGTAAATACACACAGATCTAAATGGATCGTGAAAACGTGCAACTGCATTAAGTTTTATAACCTGTATGAGCTGTATCTCTGTAGACAAGAACGTTTCACCCCTCCATGGAAGATGTGTTCATTTAATATCACATACCTTCCTTAAATCACTTGTTAGAGCAACTGCTCAAGAAGAAATTTCTCACCTAGCTGGTAGTAATAAGTTATCACAAGTTATATACACTGATGGATCTAAACAGGAGTCTTCTGGCAGGGCTGCATCTGCTCTTGTTGCCACCTCCCTAGTTAAGAACGATAATAAATTTGAGTTAGGCATAAGAATTAACAACTGGGCGTCTACACTGCAAACTGCACTGTTTGCAATTCTAATGGCGCTAAAGCTAACCTATAATACTGAACTTGACTCTATCATCATTACTGATTCTATGTCATCATTGAAGGCTCTTGACTCATAATGACTCCAACAACATGCTCATTGGAGAAGCCAGGTATAGATACTCAACAATAAGGGACAAAGGAATTAATGTACAAAGGAATTAATGAACCAAATGCCCAAAAAACCTTACGTCATGCCATATAGGCCTACCAGCCTTCCAAATGTCATTTTCAGTAAATCGTTCTTCTTTCAGCTGTTGTTTGGGGTATCTTATTGACAATTATTTACAATAAATAGAGTAAACACTTCGTCTTGTGCACCAACAATGAAAGAAATCTGACGAGGAAAAAAATGAAAATTGTGCAACCTCTCCTAAGTCTTATAAACTCCAGTCCAACAACACTGTGAACATTTTGAGTATGGAAAGGAGAATGTGTGAATGAAGACTGCTGTTGGTAGGTTAATTTATTACTGATGTCCATGGGTTCGTGTACCTGTTTGATTTATTGTTGTAACCACTTCAGCTGTGGTGATTTTACACAAGTTTCATGACCAAAACTTTAACTCATCCTCTCCACTGGACAGAGGAAGTTGGCAACATAATTCGTGTGAGCGAGGCGAAGTGGGCAGTGGTACACGAGGCAGGTTTGGATAAGTTTGGGGCAGCACTGGCCCTGCTGCCCAGTAGAACAGTGAAGGAAGTGTGGGTACTGAGTGACGACCCTGCCCAGCACTCCCTGCCAACCCTCATGACGGATGAATTGACTCACAAACCCGTCCAGGTAAATTTCACATGATGCCTTTTTTAACCAGGTTTTGAAATCCTTTGGTTTCTGTTGATTACATTGTAATGCGGTATAGATATTCATTAAATAGCAAATAAATATTTATTTGTTTTGGGCTGCTCGCATAATTCAAAATGGCGTCAGATACCAAATTTAAATGTACACAGATAAAATAACTTTTGATCTAATGTGCAGATTTGGACCATTTTAAATTGTTAAAATAAATTTTTTTAATTATTTTATTTGGTAAAATGACATGTAATATCAAATAATTTGTTCCTTGTCTTTGTCCTCCGTTTGTGCAATTGTGAAACTATTCAAACAACCCACACTGGTACAATTATAAAACATTGTACAAGGTCACACTTGCACAGCCACATTGTACAAGGTCACACTTGCACAGCCACATTGTACAAGATCACACTTGCACAGCCACATTGTACAAGGTCACACTTGCACAGCCACATTGTACAAGGTCACACTTGCACAGCCACATTGTACAAGGTCACACTTGCACAGCCACATTGCTAGTTCGTCACTCTGCTTCACTTTCACAGGCGTACTGTACTAGTTTCAAAATATTTAAAATATTTAGTAGTGCTAATACAACATTATCTGACACCGTCAGAGGAAGCAAGCATTACGATGCAATATTCCTGTCACAACGGAAATACAGTGGGACTAATAGAGGAAGGAACTGTTTAGTGTTCTTTTCCCATCACGGGTTAGGAAATATGCAAGTTTCACATTTTGTAAAAAGCTTTCTTGTATCAGTGGTGGTAAACAAAGCTTCAGAGGATATGAGTAATTTTGTCCCATTTTCTCTGACCATGATATTATTCGCGCTTATGTTGGAGATAAACATTTAGCGCTACTGTAACGTGCATTCATTTTGAAGCTTGCTGCTTGACATCACTAATATCTGCAATTGCTTACCCCAACAATGAGAAGGAATAACTATGTACTGCTTCCGATACTTTTCCTTTTCCTGTCTTAAAAAAAAAAAAAAAAACAGCACAGCCAATCCGTGAATGTGCAGCTAAAAATTTATTATGATTTTATTATTCTTTGCAAGAGTTGCACCGATACAAATCAGAGTTCCTCCTTGAACAAGTGAAGCCTTGAACAATTTCACTGCAATTTTTTCCTTCTAGTAGTGATGCATTAGCAGCAGGAAAACATCAATATCGTGTGATACAACGCTGACAGCTGTGCATCCAACTGTATGCATTTTGACAGCTATTTGGGTAATTATAACATCTGCTTCCTCTTGTTTGGCTGACAGGTCGTGCCTTTTAATGACAGTTAAACAACACATTTTCTTGGGAATTTCATTCTGTCCTGTTACAATAAACTTGTGTTGCTGTGAATATGGGCTAAGTAAATCTATATCATGCAGAATATCGTGGTATATCAGAACAATTTTGTTTTCTATTCTCTGTTATTTTAAGTACTATCTTTTGGGATGATGCCGTATTTGCCGGAGTCTTCTGGCGAATTCTATTTGCCATAGTGGCTCTGTTCTGTCTTCTATGCCTTGAGTCGTCAGCTTCCGAATTACTGTGGGTTTCAAACAGGACGAATAGTTAATCACAGCACCGTGTCTTCCTTTGCAGATGACACCCGAATCTGCATGACAGTGTCTTCCATTGCAGACACTGCAAAGCTCCAAGCGGACATCAACCAAATCTTTCAGTGGGCTGCAGAACACAATATGAAGTTCAACGATGAGAAATTTCAATTACTCAGATATGGTAAACATGAGGAAATTAAATCTTCATCAGAGTACAAAACAAATTCTGGCCACAAAATAGAGCGAAACACCAACGTCAAAGACCTGGGAGTGATCATGTCGGAGGATCTCACCTTCAAGGACCATAACATTGTATCAATCGCATCTGCTAGAAAAATGACAGGATGGATAATGAGAACCTTCAAAACTAGGGAGGCCAAGCCCATGATGACACTCTTCAGGTCACTTGTTCTATCTAGGCTGGAATATTGCTGCACACTAACAGCACCTTTCAAGGCAGATGAAATTGCCGACCTAGAAAATGTACAGAGAACTTTCACGGCGCGCATAACGGAGATAAAACACCTCAATTATTGGGAGCGCTTGAGGTTCCTAAACCTGTATTCCCTGGAACGCAGGAGGGAGAGATACATGATTATATACACCTGGAAAATCCTAGAGGGACTAGTACCGAACTTGCACACGAAAATCACTCACTACGAAAGCAAAAGACTTGGCAGACGATGCAACATCCCCCCAATGAAAAGCAGGGGTGTCACTAGCACGTTAAGAGACCATACAATAAGTGTCAGGGGCCCGAGACTGTTCAACTGCCTCCCGGCACACATAAGGGGGATTACCAACAGACCCCTGGCAGTCTTCAAGCTGGCACTGGACAAGCACCTAAAGTCAGTTCCTGATCAGCCGGGCTGTGGCTCGTACGTTGGTTTGCGTGCAGCCAGCAGCAACAGCCTGGTTGATCAGGCTCTGATCCACCAGGAGGCCTGGTCACAGACCGGGCCGCGGGGGCGTTGAACCCCGGAACTCTCTCCAGGTAAACTCCAGGTAAACAGTGCCATGGTGAGGAAGTAGCTTGCTGTATCAGTGTCATCAGTTTTGACTTTAATTTGCATCTTTTCATCTCTCCGAAATCTTCATTCATAGAAGTAAAAACTCGTACTAACTAATGAGCCAAAACCTCATTTACATTGATTTCACGAGATCTTGCTAGTAGTCCACTCACCTCAAACTCCTCCTCTCCTTACACCTTTCTGCTTTGTATTGGACTGATGAAGCCACTGTGTGGCGAAACGTTTCCTTAATGAAGATTCTCATATGTTGCATAAGAGTCTCAATCTTTAACTTGTCGGTTTTCAAAGCATTTATCACATCTGTCAGATACTGCAACATCACGGAATCTTGATACAAGGAATTCTTCAATACCGTCCAACCTTTGGACGAAGACCTACTTACACCAGTGGATGGCTCCACTGTGATCCCGCCTCCTCCTGCTTCCACTCACCTGTCTGCAGTATATAAGCCATTTCTCCGACCATATGCTGTACTTTCTGCAAGAGTGATGGACTGAACACATCGATTCCAGGCTGAGGGACTGAATACCTCAAACTACTCCTTTCCTTACCCCTCACTGCTTGTATCAAACTGAAGAAGCCACTGTGTGGCGAAACGTTCCCTTAATAAAGATTCCCATATGTTGCATAAGTGTCTTAAAATATTTGTGTTGTGATATCCCACACAAGGTAAGTTGCATCCATTGCAACCGATTCTCTACACACCATCTGCACAATATGGAGAATTCTGTATCAAAATGCTTTTAACAGTCCGTGAATTTTTTATAACTAATTTTATGTTCATTATTTTAAGAGCATTCAGCAGGACAGATAAATGCTCATTGTATGGGAGTACAAACACATTCTTGATCTGAGGTGTTATCCTAGGTTCACATCTATGATAAGTTGTTCTAGCTGCCAGCAACGTTGATTCCACAGACTCTCTAGGGTACCGTAGTTACGTGGCAGTATCAAATATTCTTCACTGAGAAATTCCGGACTTCACACTCGGTAAACTCTCAGAAACATGATGAGAAAGACGCTCCTTTTTACTCTGGTCTCATGAATCGGCGGTGAACCTGTTTTCTAATGTATTAAAAATACGTAGATTGTTGCCAGATATTTATGTTTAGTATGTTAAGCCTTTTACATCATACCGAAGTTGACCGATTTTTTTTTTTAGCTGTCATGCCACTAATGCTACGCTCGTCGTGTTACCACTGAATACCAGTGCTTGTGGACTGGCGGTCATATAATCTTCCAGGCACCGGGCACTGGTTGGTGTGCCCAGGGCACTTATCCTCTACTGCTTCCCTCTTCCCTCATTCTAGCTAAAACTCTTACTCTGAACGTGCTTGCCTGGATTTTTTAGTTAGTTTAATATCTTCATTATGCACTCCATATCCATCATGTGGGCGGTAGTCAAATGATTCCGGAGATACATAATGGGTCCACTTCATCCTCTTTTCTGCGACATTGCTACCTGTGTGATGAATGGTTTTGAAAACCGACAAGTTGAAGAATTGAGACACTTACGCAACACATGGGAATCTTTATTGAAGAAACGTTTCGCCACACAGTGGCTTCATCAGTCCAATACAAAGTAGAAATGAACATCAAAATGGTATACAATACCGACAGGTTGGTAGGTAAGACACATAGGCAACAGTTAGGCAACTTTATTCCGAAACGTTTCGCCTACACAGTAGGCTTCTTCAGTCGAATACAGAAAGTAGGCAGGAACAGTAGAGATGTGAAGACGATGTAATCAGTCCATCACCCTTGAAGTCGTAGAATTTGAGGTTGTCAGTCCCTCGGCCTGGAGAAGTTCAGTTCCATAGTCAGGAACTATCTGAAGATCAAGCGACAGTGCGGAGACTTAAATACTGTCGGAAGGAGAGGTGTAGTAGTAGTGAGAATGTAGCCACTGAGAGGTCAGGTCCCTCTCAAATCCAACAGTTCTCACTTGAAAGGGTTGTCTAAGGCGTTTTCTGTACCAAGAGGCCATGTGTTGCAGTGTCTGACAAGATGAACATCAAAATGGTTTACCGACAGGTTGGTAGGTAAGATACATAGGCAACAGTTAGGCAACTTTATTCCGAAACGTTTCGCCTACACAGTAGGCTTCTTCAGTCGAATACAGAAAGTAGGCAGGATACAGAAAGTTGCCTAACTGTTGCCTATGTGTCTTACCTACCAACCTGTCGGTATTGTATACCATTTTGATGTTCATCTTGTCAGACACTGCAACACATGGCCTCTTGGTACAAAAAACGCCTTAGACAACCCTTTCAAGTGAGAACTGTTGGATTTGAGAGGGACCTGACCTCTCAGTGGCTACATTCTCACTACCACTACACTTATCCTTCCGACAGTATTTAAGTCTCCGCACTGTCGCTTGATCTTCAGATAGTTCCTGACTATGGAACTGAACTTCTCCAGGCCGAGGGACTGACAACCTCAAATTCTACGACTTCAAGGGTGATGGACTGATTACATCGTCTTCACATCTCTACTGTTCCTGCCTACTTTCTGTATTCGACTGAAGAAGTCTACTGTGTAGGCGAAACGTTTCGGAATAAAGTTGCATAACTGTTGCCTATGTGTCTTACCTACCACAAAGTAGAAATGGGTAAGGAGAGTAGAAGTTTTGAGGTAATCAGTCCCTCAACCTGGAAACGATGTGTTCAGTCCATCACTCTTGTAGGAAGTGCAGCACAGGGCCAGAGAGGTGGCTTATATACTGCGGTGAGATGAGTCCAAGCAGGAGGAGGCGGGATCACAGTGGGACCTGCCACTAGTGTAAGTAGGTCGTCGTCCAAAGGTTGGGCTTGCCCAACCTTTGGACGACGACCTACTTACACTAGTGGCAGGTCCCACTGTGATCCCGCCTCCTCCTGCTTGGACTCATCTCACTGCAGTATATAAGCCACCTCTCTGGCCCTGTGCTGCACTTCCTACAAGAGTGATGGACTGAACACATCGTTTCCAGGTTGAGGGACTGATTACCTCAAAACTTCTACTCTCCTTACCCATTTCTACTTTGTATTGGACTGATGAAGCCACTGTGTGGCGAAACGTTTCTTCAATAAAGATTCCCATGTGTTGCATAAGTGTCTCAATTCTTCACATTGCTACCTACTGATGTGTTGATTGCAACACATCATCACTACGGTTATCAAAGTATATAACACTGAAGCGTGTGTGTATGTGTGTGTGTTTGTGTCCCCAGGAGAGGAGCTTTGATCCCAGAAGTACCGCGGCTGTAATACTCTTCTCCTCTGGTACAACAGGAGTGCCCAAGGGTGTCATGCTCAGCCACACCAACCTTCTCGCTGCCGTCCTCCAGAGCAAGTAAGTGTTTTTTTCGCCTATTGTAATTTTTCTTTCTCATTCACTGACGCTAGCGGCGTCATTTTAATATTGTAATCATGACTGATTTTTGCTATATCTTACAGCTAGCCTTTAAAGATATTACAAGGACCCCAGTGGAAATAAGTCACTTGGTCTGACTGTTTTGGGTAACCTGGTGGGTGATTTACATCTATGTTATTATGTATGATAGTTGTAGTCACCTGATTTGTGTAACTGCACTTAAGTGTACCTATGCCTAAATAAGTGTACCTATGCCTACTTTACATATTGTCAGTAATTCTACCAACTTTATTACTAAATAAACGTACTAACTTACGCCTGTTCTTTGGTCTACTTTCCTTTCGTTAACTTCCATTAGAACTGTTTGCTTTCCTTCCTAACATGTCTTCTGATCATGCACATTCTACATGCAAACTCTAATTACAGTTGGTGACATTATTATTGCAATCAAAACCAAGCGCTGCGGTGGAGAGGATAACAGAAGTAGAGTTAGAAAGAGTTGTAAAAAGTGCTAAAGGAAATGTTATCAAAGTTTGTGCAATAAAGCCGTCAAATAGTCAAAGGTGGAGTCGTCAGCAAGAAGGGAAAATAAAGTAAGGGTATTCAAGCTGTGACGACTTCGGAAATAAATTCCACGTGCTTGTTGAAAGACACAGTCAACTAGAATATGGAAAACTGAAAATGGAACTTGACAAATCTTAGAGTGGAACAGGACACCACTCCATGACGTACCTGTGAGTAAGGCCCAATGAGTAAGACCTATGAGCAATACTCAAGTGTGCAACACTTTGGTATCTTTACTGAGGAAACGTTGCGCTATGCAGTGGCTTCATCAGTCGTAAACAAAGAAGAATGGTGAAGATCAGAAGGAGCTTCAGGTAATCTGTCCCTCAGCCTGGAGTTGATGCAAGCAGTCCATCGATCTTGAAAAGAATACAGCATATGCATGAAGTGGCTGAATTCTTTTCGAGGTTGATGGACTTATTACGACTGATGAAGCCACTGTGAAGCGAAATGGTTCCTCAATAATGATACCCAAGTGTTCCACATGTGTCTCATTCATCAACGTGTTGGTTCTCTACCCCATTTATCAACAAGACGAGTGTATCCGCTGCAAGGACGGGAGAACGTAGTCTCCCAACCTCGACATCGATGATAAGAAGATGGCCAGAAACCTAAACTTGGCTTGATTTAATATAATTTGTTATGAGTCATATCGGACCAACGGTCTTGCCACTGGTTGCGATAGTGGTTAGAGATTACAGCAAAATAGCCCAAGAATGGGATACTTCTATATAAAACTGGGAGGTCATGTACTGCAGACCGCGCAGCAGTCCGCCTGCTCGTTGCCCTGAACATCAACATGACCAGGGATCCAGCAGAAAACGATTTCTTTGTTTTTTGCTAGAAATGCGGCGAAACGAAAGTTATATACAAAGAACTAGGGGATGAGGCAAATTAATTTTTTAATAGCCTGCAAAGCACTAAAGAACTCTGAGACTACTACATACGTTGAGGTAGTCAGAGAAGGAATATAAATAATTGTAATGTGAACTGCATTCAGTTAAGCTGTAAAAATGCTAGCCGAGTCTAATACATGCCCTCGCTCAGTGCTGTCCGGGAGCACTTTTGCAAATTCGATACACTCAGAGGATTTAGAACCATCAGTGTACACTACAGTGGCACGAGAATGAGACCGGAAGTAGTTGAGAAGAAGGGAGCGAGTAGCACCTGCAGGTATTTGGGTTTTCATGCATGGCAGTGGGGAAGAACAGACACAAACTGTCAGAACCTCCCAAGGGGGAAGGGAAAAGTTAGATGCAAGATGAACATATAAAAGGGGCAGCAACTGAAGAAAAGTCAAGAGAGAGTGAAGACGAAGAGAATGGGGATGGAAAAAATAGGGAAGGCGAACAAATAATGGACCTCTACTAACTTCCGTTACTATCCTCTATGTAGAAAGATCGTGAAAGTCAAGAGCAGACAAAATAACGGAGGCAATGGGCATCATGGCGATCGATCAAGGATGGAACATTCACCTCTGTATATACGCTCTCGACAGGAGATGAGCGAAAAGCACCTGGACATAAACGTAATCCCTGGTGATGGATGGGATCAAGTTTAGAAAGAGTTGCAGGAGAGCTGCAGAATATTTCTGGTCGCCATAGTCTAGTTTCGACAAAATTAGGGCTGAATGCAGTCAGAGTTCGACGATCCGCCCCTCACGAAAGATGAGCGAGGGTTTTAAGGAGGTTCAGCCAGCTATGGCAAGTTGATTTCAGGGAGGTAATGTGAGGCTTCCAGGACAGCCGGGGATCAAACAGGAGGCAGAGAAATCTGACCATATCACGTTAATAGTAAATATGCTAATCCCTAACAATACCAACATGTGCTGGGAAGAACTACAAGTGTGACTGAAGCTAACCTAACTTTAGTTATTTACAACAATAATAATAATAATAATAATATTTTTATTTCTACAAATGCATGTACAAAGTATACAAGCCTGGCTGACATCATTCATGTAGTACAATATAGAAAGCATCTTGTTATGCTGAGCATTCAGGACAAATTAGGTCAGTTTTGTCCCAGGATGCGACCCACACCAATCGACTAACACCCGGGTACCCATTTTATACTGATGGATGAACATGGACAACAGGAGTCTTAAGGAAACACGTCCTAATGTTTTCCAGCCGTACCAGGGATTCCATCTCCGGACCTCAGTGTGTGAGCTGAGTGCGCTAGCGATCCAGCTACAGGATATCCCTTTTCCTCAAATGTCCTTATTATATAGTAAACCAACGCAACCATAGTTCTTAAAGCCAGCTGAAAGCCTCAGTCAAATAACCGAAACTCCAGTAGAGGGGGTCTTCATATAACTAACACCCATTTCAGAAACACTTGCCCTGTTTCCTGACGAATCTTACTTAACCTAACGTCTCCACTGCCGTTTGCTTTATGGTTTCCCAGCAAATTGTCGACTACTAATTTGAAAACCTCCAGTGCAGCCACTTCCAGTGGGTTGAGCTTTCACTGGAACACTGGATTCCGTAATAAAATGCTAATTTTAGGGATAGCAAATTTTCCAGCCTTCAATTTAGAATAAAGTAAAATTATTTCAAAGTTTTCCTTCAGGTGAAAAGAATCCCGCACATTCAGCATTTATTGCATTTAAAAAATACTTTCTGAAATTTTAAGGCTAGAGTTTGTGAACATCGGGATTATCATACAAGAGTTTCTTACATTATTGGTCAAACTTAGAAGTGATTCAGAATCTCATAATAATACACTTAGTCCAGTTAACTATAAAATTAAAACTAAAGATCATCATTCTTTGAATGAATAATTTTGGCTTACTTATTAAACAACTTTAATTTGGTCCAAGTCGGACCGAAACGTCGTCGTAAGCTTCTCTCTTTTATGTGCGGGTTATTTGTGTATCATTCCAGTCACGGTATTGTGCCTTTTTTGTTATTTAATTTGGTCTTCTCAAAGTGCCACTCCAAAATAAGCAAGATAATCTTGGTTTATAGAATCTGTTTTTTCTTTGTTCTTGCAAGGAATGTACACCACATTATTACTATTATGATGAAAACCAAGCGATAAAACCTGCAGGGCAGAGATTTATGCTCTAGCAGAGACCAGCGAGGGTGGAGACGATAACAAAGGTAGAGTTAGTAAGGACTGTGAGGAGTGCTAAAAGCGAGTATTATCATAGTTTGTGTAATAAACCGGTTGCTGTCAAAAAGTCAGAGGGAATCTGTGTCAGTAGTGGGACTGTCAGCGAGGAGGGAAGACAGAGTGCGGGTGTTAGAGCCGTGACGACGTTAGAGAAGTATTCGCCACAAATGTACCAAAATGCATTGGGATTGTTTAAAAAAGATTTTTGTGAAGAATTCATGTTTATTTGGGAAAAAAATATAAAATAAAGCTAACAATATTGTGTCGTGGTTGTTGCTGATATAACTGCTATCGTGAAAATTTAAATAATTTAAAAACAAAGTTTTAATCTTTAATAAATCTACCCGTATATTCAAATTATCCGGGTTCGATTCCCGGCGAGGGTTCAAATATTGGGCGTGTGTCCCTACACCGGTTGTCTATGCTCACCCATCAGTAAAATGGGTACCCGGGAGTTAGTCGACTGGTGTGGATCGCATCCCGGGACAAAACTGACCTAATTTGCCCGAAATGCTCTGCATAACACACGGCTTTCTATATAGTAGTATATCATTGATGTCAGCTAGGACTGTATACCTTGTACATGTACTTGTAGTTAATAAAGATATTATTATTTATTTAAAATGAGGGTAGAAATGCAAAATTTCACAAAAGAGAGATAACTTGTAAAACCTTTTGTCGTTTTAGAATTCACAACCCCCAAAATACACACAAAAAAATCGAATATCGTTGATGACGAAATTCTTATATTGTTGACCAATGTTCTGTAATTACCTTATTTACTAAGAAATAATTGTGCTCCGTGTTTAGGTGAGTTCTATATTCTATTTACCTGGAGAGAGTTCCGGGGGTCAACGCCCCCACGGCCGGGTCTGTGACCAGGTGGTCATGGTGGATCAGAGCCTGATCAACCAGGCAGTTACTGTTGGCTGCACGCAATCCACCGTACGAGCCACAGCCCGGCTGGTCGGGTAACGACTTTAGGTGCTTGTCCAGTGCCTGTTTGAAGACAGCCAGGAGTCTATTGGTAATCCCTCTTATGTATGCTGGGAGGCAGTTTAACAGTCTCGGGCCCCTAGCACTTATTGTATTGTCTCTTAACGTGCAAGTGACACCCCTGCTTTTCATTGGGGGGATGTTGCATCGTCTGCCGAGTCTTTTGCTTTCGTTGTGAGTGATTTTCGTGTGCAAGTTTGGTACTAGTCCCTCTAGGATTTTACAGGTGTATATAATCGTGTATCTCTCCCGCCTGCGTTCCAGGGAGTACAGATTCAGGAACTTCAAGCGCTCCCAGT